GTTCTCTTGTCTTAAATTTTCATAATAGAATTCTAACTAATAAAACTATCCTACACCTTAATGGCATGCTTCCTCATGGGAAAAATGCATCTCTCTTCTTCTCCCTTTTCGTCTTCAATGATAACAAACCAAAACAAAAGAAAAACAAAAAAACCCATATTTAAATGAGACTAAGTTATTGAGTTATTCCATAAATTATCCAAATGAGACAGATAGGATGTCCGGCTTCCAGATCACCGAGCCGTATTTAAGATTTTGTGTTGTAGCAGCAAAATAATAGTGTTATATTGTTAACATAATTCCTAATTGCGTCTTTAGCTTGTCTTGTCTTTGGTTACAGAGAAAGCTGCAGGAAATGAAAATATTCAAATTGGAATTTTTTTTTTTTTTTTTTAGCTGAGTCAGCCTCTTCTTTTTCATGAAATCTGATAATTGCATACTAAGGCTAACAAGCTTGTAAAATAACAAATAGGCTTTAGTATTCTTAATGTCCTGATGAATTAACAATTTTTTTTTTTTGAATGGATGAGATCTGAAAATGTTAATTCAAGAGTGAGAGGTGTTGATCCCATTAAAAGCAAATTTGATTACCTTCAGCTAACCTGTGCCTTATCTCTATTCTTAAATTGTAGCAAAGTACTATGAGAATCTAGGTGTATCTATGTCGTTTGTCCAGGACAAGAAACATGTTTAAAATTGAGTTATGAATGTACAAAACAACATTTTTCATTCTTTTGGCACATTTGATCTGAGTTATCGTCTTCAATTTTTTTTTTGTTTTTTGTTTTCATTGGTTTTAATTTGTTGGTTACAGTTTTATCATTTTATCACTATGGATAAAAAAAAAATTATCCAAATGTTTACTTCAATTTTTTTTTTCTATTTTCATTGGTTTTAATTTGTTGGTTACAATTTTATCATTTTATCACTATGGATAAAAAAAAAAAATTATCCAAATGTTTATTTAAATTTTTTTTTTTTGTTTTCTCTGTTTTCATTGGTTTTAATTTGTTGGTTACAGTTTTATCGTTTTATCATAATGGATAAAACATGGATAAACTCAAAAGAAACCTCAAGTCCAAATTGCATAGAAGGAATTTTGAATTTTGTAAATTTTACATTTGAGAAATCTGCAAAAGCTGGGAAAATATTGTGCCCTTGTAGGAGATGTGCAAACTTAATTTGGTGTAGTAAAGAAGAGGTTGTTGATCATTTAGTAGAAAAGGGTTTTCTTAGAAAGTATAACTAGACTTCTCATTAGAAGGATTCTGCAGTGGTGAATTCTAGTGAAAATCGAAATGAAGAGGAAATAGCTTTTAATCATGATATGAGAGGGTTGCTACAAGATGCTTTTGCAGGGGTTGATATGGAAGATAGCATCCCCAATGAGGTTGTAGATAGTTCAATTATGGAAGGGAGGGTTTAAACCAAGAACCTTCCATGTCTGAAAATGATATGGATGGCTTTTTTAATTTGTTGAAGGATGCTGGGCAGAAACTATACCCCAATTGTGAAGAGAATAAGTTAGCTGCTGTTGTGCATTTATTTCACCTAAAATGCTTAAATGGGTGGAGTAATAAGTCTTTCACTCAATTATTAGAGTACTTGAGCTTCTTGCTACTAGAAGGGAATGTGTTACCTAAGTCTTATAGTGAAACCAAGAAAATCATTAGAAGTTTAGGCTTAAGTTATGAGAAAATACATGCTTGCCCTAATGATTGCATGTTGTTTTGGAAAGATAAAGCTAATGATGATTTATGTTCTAAGTGTGGTGCTTCGAGGTGGATTGTTAACACAAATATTGAAGAAGATTCCATAGATTGCACAATGAAAAAGAAAAAACCAAAAGCTGCTAAGATCTTGCGATGGTTCCCTTTAATCCCAAGATTACAGCGGCTGTACATGTCTTCAAAAACTGCTTCTCTTATGAGATGGCATGATGAAGAACGGACTAAGGATGGACTTATTCGCCATCCTGCAGATAGTCTAGCTTGGAAACATTTTGATGAAAAATATCCAGACTTTGCTGTTGATCCTCGAAATTTGCGATTGGGTCTGGCTTCTGATGGATTTAATCCATTCAAGTTAATGAATGTCACATATAGCACCTAGCCTGTTATACTAATTCCATACAACCTGCCTCTTTGGTTATGTATGAAGCAACCTAATTTAATACTGTCACTGTTGATTCTTGGTCCAAAAAGTCCTGGAAACAAAATTGATATCTACATGCAGCCACTCATTGAAGAGTTACAACAACTATGGGATGTTGGGATTGAAACTTTTGATGCTTCTAAAGGGGAGAGATTCCAGTTGAGAGCTGCATTATTGTGGACCATCAATGACTCTCCAGCTCGGGCAATGCTGTCCGGGTGGAGTACTAGGGGGGAAAAGGCTTGTCCATGCTGTGGTTATAACACAGAATCTATGTGGTTATATCACAGTAGGAAATATTGTTATATGGGCCATCGGAGATGGTTAGATCGAAGGCACAGTTATCGACATGATAAAAAATCTTTTGATGGAAATAAGGAGCTTCGAATGCCACCTGGTCGAATATCCGAATCAAAAATTTTGAGTCATGCAGATAATGTGAATATAATGGAAGGGGAGTCAAGTCAGCCTTTGATAAAGATTAGTATTTTCTTCACTCTTCCTTATTGGCAGCACAATCTACTTCCTCACAATATTGATATGATGCACACTAAGAAAAATGTCTTCGATAACACTTATGGAACAATAACTGACCAAGATGGAAAAACAAAAGACAATTACAAAGCACGTTGTGACCTCCAGGATATGGGGTTGAGGGCTGATCTACATCCAAACCAGGATCAAGCAATAACTCTAAGTTGCTGCCCAAAGCTTGTTATCAAATGACTACAAAGGAGAAGGATGCATTTTTTAAGGTCTTAAAGGACATTAAATTGCCAGATGAATACTCATGTAATATCTCCCGTTGTGTTCAAGTTAAACAACGGAAGATAATAGGACTTAAAAGTTATGATTGCCATATTCTTATGGAAGAACTTTTACCAGTGGCAATTCGAGGATCTTTGCCTAAAAGAGTTGCTTCAATTATTATTGAGTTGTGTCACCTTTTCAAATGCTTGTGTGCAAAGGTTCTCAAAGAATCTGATCTTGATGAGTTAAAGTCTCAATCTGCAATAATTTTGTGTGAAATGGAAAAGATCTTCCCACCTTCATTCTTCACTGTGATGGTGCATCTTATCATGCATTTGGCAGAAGAAGTAAAGCTTGATGGGCCAGTTGCTTATAGGTGGATGTACCCCATTGAACGGTTAGTTTAATTTTTAATATTTTTTATTTTTGTGATAATTTATTCATTAATTTGTAACAAATCTAAAAAATGTTGACTAATTTATGATTTTCTTA